GTGATTTGGGTGACAGTTTACAGAGCAAATTGGTTTTCCATTCAACAAATCATACATATTTTGTTTGGTTGTTTAGTTGTTTCTTTCTTTTTTTTTTTTCAATTTCTTAAATGATTTATTGTGAATTATGTGACAGTTTACATGGGAGAACATTAGTTTTACATTCATTCTGTCGTATATCGTCTCATTGCCATGGTTACAATCCCCTCCATGCAATCCTTCCCCCGTGCCCCCCAGTTCTTAGCACATAGTTGCTCTCCCTCTCTGGGTCTAGAGTCTTCAGTTGCTTCATAGTTCCACATCATCATCTCTGGCTTCATTTCAGGCATCACTGCTTCTCTGGGTAGGGTCCCGCTCTCTGCTCTTCTCCCTTGATGGTTCTAGGGACCTCCGCTCCTAGACTGAAAAGTCAATCACTCTCCTCCTTGCTATAAAACGTCCACCCTTACATTTCCAACCCTCACTGTCAGTCCTGATAACAATTATTCACTATTGTATACAAGAGACCCTTCTGCATTTCGTTGCATCAGCCCCACCTAGTCAGATTGAATACTACTCACTGGAGATTCTACCTTCCTCCAGGCCCTCTGGGTCTAGGTTCCCTCTTGAAAGCTTGTAAGCCAGTCACTTCTTGCCTTGGTAGCTACCCCCACCCCCCATTTTGGGTAGCCAATGTCCAAGTTGCCCATCCCTGTGTATTCTGTGTGTGGAGGGGGTGGGAATGATTCTTGCTGTAAGGACTTGTTCCCTCTTTTGAGCTAGTGTAGGTCTCCTTTTATATGGTAGGACAGTGACCTATAAATAATCCACAGAACTTGAATTTGTTGCTGTGCTTGAATATTTTTATGGCCCCATTTCCACATGATAAATACAATCCCTTTCTCTTGGATGCATATGCACTTTTGTATATGGATGAGTGCAATCCGTACTTCACTGAGCATAGGGTGAAAGAGAGACTTCTTTATAAAACACAGGTCTCATTAATTAATGCTCCACCAACTTTGAGATTTTTAACATTTGAATGGGAACTGAACAGAAGTTTCCTTTAGTACTTTTAGTATGACCCATATGAGCTTGATAAGCAAATTTAATAGCATAGACTGGATTCAGAAGGAATATTGTACTAAAAGGAAAACACAATTTCCAGTCAATTCTTGGACACATTCTGTATGATACAAACTTTTGTAGTGCTAACTGCTAGCCTAGTCATTCATTGAGGTTTGACCCCCAAAGATTGACTTGAGAGAGTCTAATTTTGAATGAGTATGTGCAGCTCATTTTTCCTCCTGGTTTTGCATAAAGGCTGTGGGATTAACACAGGTGATGCAAGCCCCGTGGTCCGAGCCTCTTGCCTATTTCAGATGGGCAGGAATATACTTGCTTTTAAGGAGCTCTGTTAGAGTAGTGGTTACAAATCGGGCTGTGAACCTTAAGGTCAGCAATTTGAAACTACCAGCTGTTCTGCAGGAGAAAGATGAGGCTTTCTGCTCCCATAAAGATTTACAGCTTCGGAAACCCTGTACCAGGGTCACTATGAGTTGGTTCCTACTCCATGGCACATAACCACCACCACACTTGCTTTTGGAGTCCTGCTGTGGTGCTGCAGGATAATGGACCACAGGTCAGTTTACACCGCAGGGTCAGCAGTACAAACTCAACCAGCTGCTTCTCAGAAACCATATATATAGGATTGCTATGAGTTGGAAATGACTCAACGGCAATTAGCAACAACACCACCAACAAAATTTTATCCATGAGCACAGTGCACTTTGACCCATGGTGTCATTGGAATGCTGGTTTCTAATATGACTTGTTTGGGGTCACTGGTGTGATTTATGGAGGCCTCAGCGGGGCACAGGAGGATGGAGGGAGAGGAGGACATTGTGCAGAATAGTTAAAAGGTCACAATCTTAGTTATTTCAGAGACCTCCTAGCCTAGGGTTGGGAGTGGGCTAACTGGTGCATATATGTCAGGAGCATCCCTAAACACTTGTGTTTATTTTGTTGTTGAGAAACATACAGCATTTGAACCATTTCAACATGTACAGCTCAGTGACATTGATGGCCTTCTTTAAGTTGAGTGATCATTCAGTATTGTTCTTTCTCTATTAACTTAGACTGTTAACCTTAGCATATTTAAGGAGCCCTGGTGACCCTGTAGAATAAGCACTCAACTGCCAACCACCTTGTTGGCAATTCAAGAACCCCTATGCAGGGTCAGGGTTACTAGGAGGTAGAATTCACTGAATGGCAGTGGGTATGCAATGCTGTAATCTCAATTGACTTATACTGGTGACCATGGAAACCCAAACCAAAAAAGACTCATAATGGTTGCCTTCAGTTGACTCTGACTTATGGCTGTCTTTTATGTTGTAAAGTTGCATTCCAGAGTTTTCAAAGCTGTGACCTTTAAGGAAGCAGAGTGCCAGGACTTCCTTTAGAGACACCTCTGAGTGGCTTCAAACTGCGAACCTCTCGTGTAGTAGTCGAGCACCTAGCTCTTTGCACCACCTAGAGACTCCACTGGCAGGAGAAGGAGCCTTTCTGTTTTATGGAGGATTGTTCATTACCAACAGGGATGGCATGGCATCTTGGGTGTAGGAGATAGCAGTATTTGACGTCTGCTTTATTATCACCTTGGAATATTTGTTGTTGTTAAGTGCCATCAAGTTGTTTATGACTCAGTGACCCTGTGTATGGTTTCCAAGGAGCAGCAGTTAGGGTTGAACTGCTGACCTTGTGGTTCGCAGTCCAGTGCTACTCCTACAGCGCCACACCAGGAGTCCATAGAACATTTGTTGTTGTTAAGTGCCGTCAAGTTTGTTCCGACCCAGAGCAACCATGAATAGGGTTTCTGAGGCTGCATATCTTGATGGGAGCAGAAAGCTTCATCTTTCTCCTGCGGAGCAGCTGGTAGTTTCAAACTGCTGACCTTGCGGTTCGCAGCCCGATTCGTAGCCACTATGCTACCAGAGCTCCATATAGAACATTTAGTGCTTTGGAAACGGTTACCATGCTTACTTGGTTTGCCACTTTATACCATTAGTGAGTGTTCACAGGTGCTTAGAAAGCTGAGGCATCTGGGTGGGAAGTTTTTGTATTCTTAGATAAGTTGACTAGCAAGAGGTATCCATGGTGGGGCTTTTTGGATGTTTGTCCTTTCTGTCATATATTAGAAGCATTTAGGGTTGGGTTACAATTTCATTTCTACCTTAACTGCTTATCACAGCTAGGCTCTGGTAGCCTTGGTTCACTGTTGGAGCTGCTATTTCTCTACATCACTGACTTGCTGTCTCCTTTTACTTACGTAGAGTGCTTTTTGGGGATAGGACAGCACAGTATACCAGGCAGAGTCTGCAGAGATGTGTGGCTCATTCCAAAGCAGGAAATATGTACTTGGACAAGTGTTCTATGAAAAGAAATGGAATTGCAGACATAGCACTTGTGAGGAGTCCTGGTGTAGAATGAGCACTGGACTGCTAACCCACAAGGTCAGTAGTTCAAATCCACCAGCCATGCCTCAGAACCCCCATACAGGGTCTTTGTGAGTAAGAACTGACTTGACAGTACCTAGCAACAAGTTACCATCTAAAACCCTACGTGGAGCAAATATACTCAATGAAAGGTTGAAGGTCTGAGTCCACCGAGAGGTGCCTCAAAAGAAAGACATGGAAATCTAGTTGTGAAAACTCAGACATTTCTACTGACACTCATGGAGTTGCCCTGAGCCCATCTACTCAGTGGCAGTTCTTTCCAATCAGAAGAATCAAATAGAATAACACAAGCGGTTTGCAGTTTGCTACTAAGGAGCTCTGGTAGCGTAGTGGTTATGAATCGGGCTGTGAACCGCAAGGTCAGCAGTTCGAAGCTACCAGCTGTTCCGTGGGAGAAAGATGAGGCTTTCTGCTCCTGTAAAGATGTAAAGCCTCGGAAACTCTGTACAGGGTCACTATGAGTCGGAACCGGCTCCACGGCACATAACCACCACCAATTTGTAGGTTGGCCATTTGAACACACCTAACTGTTCCATGAGAAATAGAAGTGTGACCTACTTCTATAAATATTACAGCCCAGAAAACTCTGTGGGGCAAGTTCTACTCTATAACACATGGGGTTGACTTGAGTCAAAAATAGTCTACGGGAATGGGTTTGGTGGTATTTTCGTTTGGTAGAGTAGAATGTGTGTACTTCCTTTTTTTCCAAATGAAAGATTTAGAAAGAGATTGTTGTTGTTAAGTGCTGTCAATTCCAACTCAAAGCAACCCTGTATAGAGTTTCCAAGGAGCAGCTGATGACCTTGAACCGCTGATCTGACCTTGCAGTTCAAACCGAGCTTGCATTCCAGTGCATTAACCCACAGTACCACTCCAGATTTGGAAAGAGATAGACTGTTTTAATTTGAGTGATCTGTGTTTAAAGTCCTCTAGGTTTCTGTGCATCAAAAGATACTAGTTTATTTTGGGGTTGGTGGCCACATAGTGCCCACCACTTCCCTTATTTACTTTGGTTGGCCTTGGGGCGAGGGCAGTCTTTAACAGGATGAATACTTTATGTGAAGACACTTGATATATTGCTGTTCAATAAGTTTTTCAACTATGTATTAAAAGTTTTCCATATGTTTCATATTTTCCGTTGAAGTGGGGAAATTATAGAATATAGTATTTCACTGGAAAAGAGATTTCATGTTTGGGAGTACAGTTTTGAGTTTTATCCAAGCATTTCTCTGATAAACCTTAATTTCTTTTCTTGATTTTTACAGCAGTGGCTTGCTTTGGGAGTCAAGACTGCACTCTTGTCATCCTGGAAAGCTGCTGAAAGGACATTATTCTCATCAATAAAAAACTGAGTATCTAGAACGTGAAGAGACTAATATAAAACCATCACTGGAAAGCAAGGCCATTTAAGATAGGGGACTAAAGAACCATTTCTTTGGTGTTCTCTGCAGAGGTGGACTTAACAAAACAAATTGGGACTCCCTGTATTCTCTCTGTATCAAAAATATGACGACTCTATTGGTAGCTGGGTGTGTCCAAGTATGGAACAAGAAGAAGGGCATGAGTAAGTCAGAAGAAGCATTTATTGAAATAGTTGAAGAAGTAAATAGTGTGAATTTGGTGATCCACTTCAGCAACAGCAACCAAATAAAGACGTTCCAGCTAACTAATAATATTAGAAATGTAGTCTTTAGATCCCATGGAGAAAATCAAAATCACCTGCATGTAACTTTCCAAAATAATAACTTCTTGTTTATAAACAAATTGTCCTACAACGATGCTTCAAGTTTGAAGATGCTTCTGGATATGGTTCAAAATAATGAGCTTCAACCATCCATGCAACCTGTTAGAGGAGAGGGTGACCAGTGTGAAACCAAAGAGTTACTTGATCAAAAGTGTAAGGAACCACACAGTGAATCGTCCCAGTCAGACACAGGAAGTGCAGCACCTGTCCCTCAAGAGACTCCTTCAACAGCACATGTAGTCACAGTGGCAGCAGTGTGTAAAAAGGGGAAGAACAAAAGAAAATCCTCCGATTCTGAAATGAGTGGAGTCGTAGTGAAAAAGTCTAAGAGAATTCTGATCAGGAAAGCTGGTGCACAGCCCATGAGATATATATCCCTCACTGTGGAGAGACCATTGGGTTTACAACCATTTAGAAGTGAGAAGAAATTGAAGTTTGGCACTATATTTGAGGCCTTGTCTACTAGAGACCTGTCGCTATTTTGGGATCAACAGATGCAAAAAATCTCTCTTAAAAGTCTTTTGTCATTTTTGTTGAAAACTAAATATAACCAGACTAACCTAGAAGAGTGGAAGGGGGATGAGGTATCTTTGCAATTTTCACTAGAAAAACATAAGCAAGGTCTCCCCAATTTGGGTAACACTTGTTATATGAATGCCATTTTACAGTCCCTATTTGCAATTCCATCATTTGTGGATGATTTGCTTCATCAGAGCATCCAGTGTGGTAAAATTCCCTTTAGAGGTGTTACTTTGTGCGTGGCTCAGCTGTTTGTATTGAGAAATGTGTGTGACTTACAGGTCAAGGAGAAAATGCTTGTAAATATTAAGAAAGCCATTTCCACAGTTGCAGACATCTTCTCTGAGGACACTGAGAATGATTCTCATGAGTTTTTAGTCCACTGCTTAGATCAAATTAAAGAAAATGTGAGCTTATTAAGAAAAATTTGGGAGAAAGAGCAGGCTTCTGGCGAGAAGGTTGGCACTGAAATGCTCATTTGTCCTGTCACTTCTAATTTTGAGTTTGAGTTACAGCGCTCTATTGTTTGTAAAGGCTGTGGTCAGATTGTTTACAGGACAGAACTGAGTAATTATCTCTCTATCAACCTTCCCCAACCATCGAAATCACAGACATTCTCTATTCAGACAGCTTTAGATCTTTACTTTGCACCAGAAGAACTTGAGTATACTTGTGAGAAGTGTGAACACAAGTGTTCAGTTGCACTGTACAAATTTAGCAAGGTACCCAGGGTCCTGATTGTTCACCTGAAACGTTATAACTTTAATGAGGGTTGGTTCTTAAAAAAGGATGAACACGTGGTTCTTGTTCCCAAATACTTGCACTTGTCTTCTCATTGTAATGAAAGCACCACCCTACCTTCTCCCCCTGAAAACTATGTACATGTTTGGGATCCTGAAGCCAAAATGGTCTCTGAAGAGACCATTGGTGGTGACAGTCAGCTTAAATCTTCAACAACATTAGCATCAGAATCCAAAGATTCTAAGGCATCATGCAGTGGCTCAGTCAAGCAAACTAGATCCCAAAAAGGGCAGAAAGGCAAGAAAGGGTCAAGGAAAAAAAAAAAGCATCAAGGCTTAGAAAAGGGTCATAAGCTGAATTTAATAGAATCTGATGTTAGAGGCTCAATATTTGATGCAGTCAGTGAAGATCAAGTGATAGTAGGTGATGCAAAGTTGTATCACGAAGACATTATCTCTCTTCTGCTTCAGGAATTTGGCAGTGAATTTTTCATCAGCAGCCCAGGTGAAGGCCTTGAAGAGGATCTTAAACATGGACCTGAAAATCCAGAACCTACTCAATTCAAGGAAGCTGACATATCTTCAGAGTTACCTGACTTTGTTACAATTCAAGTAGGATCCGAAGGAGTGCCTGGTGAGCCCCATAGTTTCGAAGCAGGGCGAGTCTGTGACCCGGAGAAACCCTTGTCTCCTAGCGCTCAGAAGCCAGATACTCAGGAGCACACAGAGAATGTTAAAAGACGTTCAAAAAGAAATGTCCAGGGGGCTAAGATGAAATCCCAGGTTACAGTATGTTCTTCTAAGGAGCCCAAAAAGATAGATAGAGTTTTAAGTAAGGAGGAGAGAGAAGCTAGAGATAAGAAGCGAGAAATGAAAACACAGAAGAGAGGTCCTTATGCCTATCGCCTCATCAGTATTGTCAGCCATCTGGGGCGCACCCTGCATTCAGGCCATTATATCAGCGATATCTATGATTTTCGCAAGCGGATATGGTACACCTTCAGTGATCTGCGGGTAGCTGTTTTGTCACAGAACCCAGTGAAAAAAGGGGGTAGGCATACAACAGGGTACATCTTCTTTTACATGCACAATGAGATCTTTGAAGAGCTCATGAAAAGGGAAGAGAAGGCGAAAATTCAAAGCACAGAGGCAAGGGAGAACCCGAAACCAAAGCCTCAGGAGGAATAAGAGAAACAGACTCTTCTTTGCACTGTCTCTGAGCAATGAGAACTCCCAACTCTCTCCAGAGATAAAAAGGCAATTAGCCTTCAGAAAGAAACACAAAGTTCTATTCTAAGTTACCGTAGACATTTCAATCATATAGGTTAGACTGATAGGCAGACTTCTCTAGAAATCTAGAATTATGCCCTTTCATGTTCTCACACAGTAGTTTGAAAAGTCCATCAAGAAACTCATTTGAGATTAAAATATTTCAGGTGGTCAATCAGAACCTCTGGAACTAGAAACTAACAATCTGTTGGTGAGCCTTATGTTCTGTAACATTGGAGAACCACTGCTGTAGTGTGTAGAGTATTTTGTTACATACTTGTATGAGTTGTTGGTTTTGCAAAGAGTTCTGATTTATCTTCAGTGTGTTTCTTCTGTTCATGTAGGTCTTTTCTTGATAAACTTCATTAAATCCAAAACACATCAACTCTCTTGCTGATCATACTCAGCAGTTAGCTGAAAAGAATAGTTGCAAAAACAGTGTGGCTTGTAACTTTTGAATTCTCCTGGCCATTTGTAGATAGGACTGAACCCCCAAGGCGTGGCTCCAGGCTGGGTACTCCTTTTTTCCTCAGTGCTAAAGGAGCCACACCTCTTGGACTTTGGCTGGATAACTTCCTGAGGATGGACAAGTTGATTTCCCCTCAAGAAAATGGTTCCTTCGCCTTGTTTATCTGCTAGAAGTTATAGGCTGTTGATATTCTGATGCCCATTTTGCTGGGTTTCCCCTCCCCCCTTCTCAAAGGAGTACAAGCAGTGTCATAAAAAGGAACATTGTTAACCAGACCTATATCTGGGACTTCTTAGACAATCTTCTGCATTCATCTTTAGATAGAAAGCCAATTGTAGATTCACATATCCTTGGACCTTACAGCATGTATTCCTTCAAGGAATAAACAATACGTACCCTAAAAGTAGACTTGTAATATTTGAAAGTCTCAACTTGATACTAATGTCTAAACTTTACAGGATAAGACTTGGGACTCGTGCTTGGGACATTCATATTTGGTTGGATCTCCATGTGCTTCATGGCTTAACAAGCCATCTGAGGTTTAGCATGTGATATCTCTGACAATTGAGTTCTCTACCCTGTTTTAATAGCAGGGAGTCTCTTGGCACACTCCACTTTTGTTATGAGTAATTGACTTGTACTAAGAAATTGTTTTTGGAATTTCAGTCTTTCCACTGATATCTAGAATGACCTGGTGTTAGTGTGGCTGTATTCGTCCAACAACTAGTTGATGCTCTTTATTGATCCAAGAACTAGTTGTTGCGTTTTGAATCTATGAACTGGAGTGTAGTGATGTAAGGAAACAAAATATTGCCCTCTAAGGGGGAAGGAGAAACCATAGGCTGTCATCTTCAGGAGATGACAGCTAAGGAAACTATTGTGCTCTTTAGTGTCACTTGGAGGTAGAATTGATTCAGTAGCACAAAACACAACAAGAAGATCAGATTCCAAAGTTTGGAAATTGTATCAGAACATCTGGAAGTAGGTCTAATTGAGACCTCTGAAAATAGGTTGAGTCATCTGGGGAAAGTATCCTGGAGTGAACTTAACACTCTCGTAGAAGGTATTGTAGACTCAACAATGAGGGATTCAATTTGTGTAGTTTTTCAGCAGGTGGAGGGTAAAACTACAGTTGGAGAGGAAGTAGCGATTTGTTTTCTCAATTTTATGATTTAGAATAGTTAAATTTTTTAAATGACATTTGTGTGTTCTCGAACAGTGAATAAGTCAAATCTGGGTCCAGTCAAAACAATTATTTTTGTTGAGGAGTGAGGGGAAATTTTTGAAAAGGAATATGAAGAAGCTAGTATGTTAAGAGCGTCACATAGGAGTCAGAAGTTATTTTTGTTTAAAAGTGAGGGGAAATTTTTCTGAAAACGAATCAGAACAATTTTTTTGTTGTTGTTCAAGAGTGAGGGGGAAAAGTTTTTGAAAAAGAATATGAAAAAGGTAGTGTGTTAAGAGGGAAAAACCGTTTTTGAAAAAGCATATGTAATAGCTAGTGTGTTAAGAGATAGTGAGACTTTGGGTTTGAGGTACAGAGGGTGATACACCCCGGATGTGACACTCTTCAGCAGATTGTGCATTGCAAATGCAGGGCATTGGATGGTGAACAGCAGGTGTGCACAAGAGGAGGTGGGAATCTGGGTGGAATCCATCATTGTAATGGGAGGAAAATCTGAGTGTATCACTGACTGGTTGTATTCAATCTACATGTACGTTACATCATTTATTTCAAATAAAAGAACCAAAGTTTCAGTGCCTGTGTAGTTATTATACTTGTAAATTCATTCTCTGTTTTCTAGAACCAGTGTCCATGATCAACTATTTCTTTTAATACTCAGCATATTAATTTTCCATTTCCCTATTACAAATTAACTATCAATTTAGTGACTTAGAAGAAAAAAATCAAACCTTTTACAGTTTTGGAAGTCAGACTCCAAAGTGCTTATCTGTGGGCTAAAATCAAGGTGTTTGTTGGTAGAGCTGTACTCTTTTCAGGGAGAACCCATTGCCTTTCCCAGCTTTTAGAGGATGTTCCCACATTTCTTGGCTCACAAATCTATCTTCAAAGTTTGTAATGCCAGGTAAGGTCCTTACAGTCGTCTCTCTGGTTCTCCTGCTTCTGTTCTTTACCTCCCCCCCACCCCGCTCCTGGCCCCCAACATGATTGTGGACCTTGGTGATTACATTGGACCTACCTATATAATCCAGAATAATCTGTTTTACAGTCAGCTGATTGACAATATCAATTCCCCTTTATCTTGTAACAATGTATTCACAGGCTCTAAGGACTAGGACCAGGGCATCATTGGTTGTGGGGTTAAGTGGGTGAACATCATTCTGTCTACTACACATACCCAATAATGTGAATGGAATAGTACAGAAGAAGAAAAAAATAAAACACCAAACTGGTCCATCGTTGACCTGCACGCTTTGGGAAGAAAAGTTTGTGTCTCCACTAGAGCTTGAGGGCAAGAGAGAGAAATGTCTTTGGTAATTGAGTGTCAACCTCATACCAACTTTTAGAACAAGGAAATGGCTTTTCAGATTGTCTCTGCTTATTAAATGTTTATTGTAATAATTTTTCTTTCATTTTATGCACACATTCTTTACAATTTCATATTTAGGTGGTAGAATCTTAAAGGAGAGCTCTTAATGAAGAAGAAGTAAGAGAGCCCATGATGGATGCAATGACCATTGGGACTTTGATCCATCTTACTTGATGTGAAAGCAAGGACTTAGAATGATTGGTACATTTTCTTAGGTAGAAATACACAATTATATTGCTGTAAGGAGTCCTGGTGTGGCACCGGTAGGATAAGAAGTGGGCAGAGTTGGTAGTTCAAATTCACTTGCCATTCCTTGGAAACCTTAGGGTTGCAATGAGTTGAAACCGATTCTAAGGCACTCAACAAGGAGGCAAATGTGTATGCATGCAGAAGCTAATAAACCAAAGCGGTGGACTATGCCAGTCATCAATTCACTTAATGCTTTGTGACAGTGGATAGAATTCTTTAGGTGTTTTTATAAGCTTTCTCAATAGAAATGGAGATTGGAGAAAGGGGTTTGTTGCTATTTCCAGCATATGGAGAGTGGATATAAGACTATATCTGGTGGTGCATTACCATATCCACAAGTCCAGAACAGGAGCTTGATCCTTGGGGACCTTAAAGGCTCCCTTTCACCCTTTAATAAATTTCCTGTTGCTGTCTCAACACAAATACCATGGCTCTTAACTTACCCACCTTAGAGTTTGGATTCTCTGTTGATTTGCCCTTTAAGTTTGTATCCTACAATTCGAATATCTAGTCCCCCTGACCTGTGCATAGTGCCACCCCCAGTCTATCAGCCTGCCTCGTGAATTTGCCAATTTGTTGTTGTTCACCTGTAGCCTGCTTGTGTGCTAGAGGGATATCAGCCCCCACCCCAAACACACACACACTGCAACACTATACACAGAGGCTTGCCTGAATCTTGCTTCACCCTATGAAACTACAAGGGTGTTTCCTGCTTATCCAGTGACTGCTGATCGGGTCTGGCTCAGGTAAACCAATAAACTTGTCTGACCTATTAATCTGGTTTGAGCATTGCAGCAGCCTACAAAACCCTCTTTCTAAGTTTTTTTTGCCCTCATTTCTATGATACGTATGTATTTTTCTTCCTCCCTATAAGCTCACTGCCATAAAGGCAATTCCAACCCACAGCGACTCTCTAGGGTTTCTGAGACTAAATCTTTTGAGACCAGACTGCCTCATCCTTTTCCTGAGGATCAATTGGTATATTTGACTGGTGACCTTGCAGTATGCAGCCTAATGCTTAACCTATGGTGCCAGTTTGACTTGCAGGGGGTCTTCTCTCATAGTAAGATAATTAAATTTCTCTTGGTTAAATTGATGTCAGTTCTACATCCTGAATGGAATCCTGTTGTGCCACTATAGGATAAGCACTGTAGTAACCACAAGTTTGGCAGTTCAAAACCCTGTACACGTAAGCCCTATGTGTAGTTGCTATGAGTTGGAACCAACTTGACTACTTAATGTCCTACTACCGAGGTTGAGCCTTTGAAGTGTTTGTCATAATCCTCCAATTAAATCCAAAGGTCTTCATGTGAAATAGTCTGTATGCATTTCATGTTGTATTTTGGTGTAAAGTAGCACAAAATATGCTTGACCAAGAGCCCTAATACCATTTGTTGGTACACCTCTATTGCCCTGCTTACAAGAAATCTGAGGTGATTGCAATTCAGACAGAATCATGTGCCAATGAGGATTTGGGGCTAGAACATCACTAGCATCCTAGCATTTCCTCTAACCTTGTCCTCATTCCCCTACCCCAGGAAAATCATTTCAAAACAGCCTTAGCTATGTGTTTCTCTAACATAGCGGGGGTGGGTTATTTGCCCCAAAAGATAACTGACATTTTCCTATCTGATGTGGTGGTGGTTATG